ATCTCGATCAATTTAACGCTATATTTGATTCGAGGGAGAGAACAAAAAACGAGTATTTCTAATTTTGAGGTTTAGAACATCAAAATCTAAAGAATTCTTTCGAGTAGCTCATTATTTCGCCAAAAACACGATGATTTCTAAACAGAGCCAAACAGTCCCTCCCCATTATCTATTCGCTAAAGCTATTAAAGTGTTTGGAAAGTTTTATCAAAGTTTTGCTTCTCAACTTCGAAAGCATGTTGCTCGCGAATGCGCTGAAGAAGGATTTTAGATTTGATAGCAAGGAAAAGGGCATTGTTGATAGATCAATACTACAGCTGATCGGTACTCGACGTGGTCGTTCGAAGTAGGTGATCGTAGACGGGAGGATGTGCCACGATACGATAACCAGAGCCTTCTCCCTCTCCACACAGAACTGATCGCTTCCACACTCAGGATTGGAATGAGATATGGTGACTGATTGGCAGCAGTGATCCTCCCTTTCCACCTACCATCAATGGCACGATCGCTTCCTCCGAGAAGAGATTTGTTTTCGCCGAAATTTGCCGTAGCGAACGTCCACTGTCCTCGAATACGTCTGTTCTGTCCCCTCGCCAGAGCAATCCTATTCAAAGTGACAAGATTTGGAAGAGACGATTTCTACTCTCCAATCTATCATCCATGACATTCTACCCAAGAGTCACTTTCAAAACAGGACTCTTTGCACATCCTTGACCGACCAGGGGTGTCGAGTGTGAGTCAACGATTATAGGAAGCTGCTCGACTGTAAGTAAATGACAGCATCAACCGACTTCATCATTGCTCATGATAAAAAGTGGATGTAATGTGAAAATCCACACAGGAAATGGCAATGCCTAACAGCTGACTGAAGGCCACAGCCCGCTATGAAGCGAGGCGCTCACGCTGAGTACGACGTGAGTTCATCCTTTCTCTGCTCAGCCGGGTGTTTTACTATAAGATCCTACCAGAGCGCCCTGGGGTAAACGCAGGAGCATTCCGTTACCTACTGAGAAAGATGGTGTTTTCAAATTCCATTTTACACCGACTAGAGGGAAGTTTTCGACTGTGATGGATAGTGCTTGACCACCCCACGTTAGGACGTCGATGGATTAGCCGGAAAGACTTAGCATAACCTGGCTCTCCCGATCTCCACATAGTAATCTGACCTTAGTCCATATGACCGTCATACCGTCAGTAGCGCAGACCTGCTCTGCAGGAAAAAAATCTGCTAATTGTCGAGAAGTGACGTAGGTAGATGAATGAATTACGCCATGTCTCTTTTCATACTATAGGAATGCAATGCCCAGTCCGGTTGAGGGAGAGACATTGTGGCTAAAAGGGCCAAGGCTAAGGCTTGATCACTAAACTAAGCTCATTGCAGTAGTTATTTCGTGTTTAAAAAACCAACTAAACTTTCTCAAAACGCTCCGGACACCCTTATATTAGGTTGGCAAATAAGTCCTGCGACAAAATGGAGACCTTTTTTGAATCATTTCTAAATTTTTTCATACCAATCAATTTTCAGAAAAGTATTTAATGAAGAAGTCAACAACCTTCTTTTATCCTTCGAGCCAATCACTGATGCCATCTCTTCACGAGTGAGGGAGCTGTACTCAAAGAATTAATTGACTGCCGTTTTTGGATCACATTAAGTTGCGAATTTCTTTTCCACAGCGGGATGCCCAAAAAGGGGGAGCACATGGTAGTTAAAAGGTGCAACGCTACGGGAGTACGAGTAACCTGGAACCAGGCGGGACCGGTGAACTGTTGACGTCGATCTAAAGCGAATTTTCGACGTGCGTTGTCCCTCTGTAGGGACCTGATTTACGGTTTGATCGCCCTTCTCTAACCCCGTTGGCCAAATAAAGGGGATCATAGGGGCAAGCGATAGCTGTGTCCATGCANCCATGCAGTCTGCATTTAGCAACTCATAGTGGATAGATTCCTTCAACCTCCATTAAATTAAGGGACGATGCTTGCGTTACTCCGGAGGCTAGTATCTCCTGCAGTGAAGCGATTCAACCGATTGTTGACCATCGATCGGTGAGCAGTGCTAGCATCGAACAGATTGCTGATATTTCCATCCGCTACACCCTCGTTTTTTCCTTGGCGTGCTCAGTAGAAGGTGATGGTAGGAATCGGGTGTTGTCCATTCATTGACCGTAATGCTGCGAAAACCCACACGCGTGCCCTTATTTGCTCATGTGTTGCTCCTTGCAATGATGTTAAAATGGTGAGAGATTGACTAGGCGACCCCGAGAGAAGCACAATTTTTCCCTGCTCTACGAAATAGTTTCCCGATGCGCAAGCACGCATCTATATGCAAGGGTGCCTCTGAAGAAAATCATAGCCTTGAATCAGATAAAAACCCTTCCCAATCCTGTCCGGCAACAGTAGCGCCTTCACATGAAAAGATTCTCTCTCACATTGAAAGATTCTCTTCAGAAAAGGCAGCATGAAAACTGCACATTAAACTTGTCTTCAAGTTACAGTGACAGATGGGAAACTGAAAAAAAAGGCAAAAAGTGAAACAAACGCAAAAGTAGGACGAATAAAGTGGGCAAGAGGAATTGGCGCAACGACTCTTACCGCTCTCTTGATCCGATAATGTCTTTGTGAGCTTCTACCTCCTCCTCAATGCTATTGTATCGGGTATCTGAGATCAATTTTAGAGAGATTGCCATTGCCTCTGAAAACATTGGGTATATGAATTATGGCGGAGTGTCAGGACAGTGCTGATCTGGAACTTTTCTGGTTTTAAAAATGAACGTCGATGCAGAACAACACGAATGCTTACGTCACTAGTTTCCGAAGCATTGCACTGCCTAAATTATGCATGGGGCCTCAATGGAACAGGCCCCTGCAAGACTTGAAGTATGGTTGAAGGCATAGTTTATCCTTATTACTATATATAAACCACAAATGTCTATTTGTCTGTATGTTTGTATGTCTGTTTCACTGTAACTATCTTATACGGCGTCGTTTGGAAATCAAGTTGAACAGCTCGGACAGGTTGGAACAAGTGGGGATGGACAAGTGGGGAATGACCCAAACTCCTTGGGTACACGTGATCTAAGCTAGGCCCCGCCCACTAGGGGAGGGGCTT